ATTTCAACCGGACTCAAGCCTTCATCAACTCAGTTCACAGTCAACATATACTTACTGAGCATTTAGTATATGCCAGACACTCTGTCAAGGCACTGGGGCAGCATGAAAAAACAATAGAAAAGAGAATATATAAACAAGAATGAACACTGGACTGGGAGTCTGAAAACTTGTATTCCATTTCTATTCTGTCTGCTAATTTGGTGTTTGATCTTCAGTAACATTCCTGGCCTTTAGTTGGCTAAAAGGAATGTCTGGATTGAAAGACGTCTAAAGTCTTTCAGCTCTGTAAGTCTATGTAATTATCATTATCTCAAATATAACTGAACCATGTCTAATGTGTTACAGGCTCACATTGTGGTCAGAATAGTGTGCAAGTATAGTTAGAAGACCTAAATATATAGGAATAAACTTCTGTGAGTGTGAGAATACTAAAAACTGGTATGGCTTAGTGCCATAAAAAGCAAATACCAGAATGTGCTTAAGCTGGTAAAAGAGGGTAAAGAACAACAATAAGGCTTTTAAGATTAGCATGAGAACAAAAATAGGAGAGGTAAGCCTGAAGATTAGAACAGACGGTATGTGGTGTAGTGTTACACATGACACACAAAGCAGAAATCTTCTCATCAAGAAGAGCTTTTGTCTGCAAAGGCAAATGGTTCAAAGGGAAGTGAACCCAAGAGAGGCAAGCAGACAGTGGCTTGAGTGTGGGCAAGAGTACATCTCTCTGTAGTGAGAAAGGTGGAAAATAAGATTTCCTACAGATGATTTCCAAGACCCACAATGAATCTCAGATTTATGTAAGATGCCAAAGGCCTGGAGATAGCCCAACGGTATCCTGGTTTGCAAAGTAAAGAAGGTGTGTTTTGTGAATTTCAAGCTGGTAATCTTGATGTCTATTGCTTAGCAAAATTGTGGCTGGTTTATGAGCACTGGGAATGGAAAAAAAGAAGATCAATATGTAGCCAAAAGTTAGCCCAAACTAATTTTGTATTTTTGGTTGTCTGCAGAGTATATACATATTTGTCTTTTTTTTTTTTTTTTTTTAAATTAAGAGAGGAGGTCTTGCTGTGTTACCCAGGATGGTCTCAAATTCCTGGGCTTAAGCAGTTCACCCGCCTCAGCCTTCCAAAGTTGCTAGGATTACAGATGTGAGCCATCACGCCCAGCCCATATTTGTCTTTTAACTTGGGCTTTGACAAAATCATGATCTCTTTTTGAAGAATACGGAAACATTAAATGTGGCTGGTGTTCTAGTTAGATTTATTTATAACCAGCTAAATGACGTCATCAAAATGATGGTTGCTGATCAATATAGTCTCAGGCCAGGAAACATATTTTGAGCCCAGTGTCTACTTCAATGCCAGGTGTCCATTTTTATTGGAGTTACATGAATATCTACACAAATTAATAATGTCTACCTAGAAAGAGGTCTCTAGTGGAATATCATAGAGTTTTCTTTGCTCTATGCTTTCTTCAATTTCCAAACACTTGGGTGAAGCTTTGGAAGTCAGATTTATAATATTTGCAGATGAACACAAACTGAGAGGGACAACATGATTTTGGAAGCCAGGCTTAGGATCCAAAGAGACTGATAAGCATAAATTCTGTTCCTAAGTTAACAAAATGAAATTCAGTGTAGTAAAATCCTTCACTTGAATCTTTGAGGGAATAAGTCCCAGCCCTGCCCAGTCAGGCATGGTGGAGTGCAAAGAGGAGGATGTGGAGGTAGAGAGTGGTCTCCTTTGAGTCTGCATCTTCATACACTGAAGGGGATCTGGTCAGGTGCAAGAGACCAGATACTCATCCAAGGTGAGGCCTTCAAACTTATGTACTCCCCATGACTTTTTGCAGGCAATCATTGAGATTTGTAAAATGGGAGTTGGTTGGTCCACGGGCCTAGTTATAAAGGCAGAGCAGCATTCTTTAGCATTTGGTGTTATTATAGAAACAGGAATCAGGATAAGAAAAAAGAAAACCTCAAATGAAAGCAAACCTGGAGGCCCCTCCCCATCTCAAATGGGAGGCTCTGGGGTCACTCCTAGCCGTGTGACTCTAGGCAAGTTATCTGAGCTCTCTTAGCCTCAGTAATCTGAAAAATAGATATTAGAATTATTTCACCTCCAGAATTATTGTGAGAACAAATGTTTTTGTACTAAAGCACTTAGAATAGTGCCTGACCACAAGCAGTATGGGCTGTTATTACTATTATTATTAAAACTTAGAAAAGTATGGCTTGTTACAATGAGGAGACTAGTTAACAGGATTCTTACACTTCCCATGCCTTAGAAAAACATACAAAACAAAAAAACAGTCATAAAAGTGTAGGATGGAGGGCATGTAGCTTTGCAGCATCGGCCAAAAAAAAAAAAAAAAGGTAGATTTGGGCTGTTTTTGCATATACTGACCACTTTGTACCAACTGGCATTACAGTTTGAAGATGCAGAGCCTGTAGATTCACTCTAGATTTTAGTTTCACTAGGCTTCATTTTTCTTCCTTTATCTTTTTTTTTTTTTTTTTTTTTTTTTTTTCCAGAGAGACAGGCTCTTGCTCTCACCCAGGCTGAAGTGCAGTGGTATGATCATAACTCACTGCAGCCTCCAGCTCCTGGGCTCAATTAATCCTCCTGCCTCAACCTCCTGAGTAGCTGAGACTACAGGCATCTGCCACCATGCCTGGCTAACTTGCTAAAAAAATGTTTTGTAGAGATGGGGTCTTGCTGTGTTGCCAGTGCTGGTCTTGGACTGCTGGCCACAAGTGATGCTAAAGCCTCAGCCTCCCAAAGCGCTGGAGTTGCAGGTGTGAGCTCTGCACTCAGGCTTCACTAGGCTACTTATTGTGAAACTGCCTTTAGCATCCCCATGCCATTTCCCGGTGTTGGTCCCTCATTCCTGCTTTCATCTCCTAGTTCAGATTAATTTTTCTAAAATAACAACAGCAGTATTTATGTCTTACTCCAACTCCATGGCAGATGTGTGTAAATTGCAAGCATTTAGGAATAGCATTTGCCAACTCCCAAGACTTGGCTCTCCCTCTCGCTCTGGCCTCACTTACCTAGCTGACCTCCTATAGTACTGAGTTGTGTGCTGGCCAAGTTCCTATTCCCTGGCCTGCTTTCCTTCCCTTGACCTTCCTTGAAATGCTGCTAACCTGACTTTTGACTGTGATCTATGTGCTGTCTCATGTGTGAGGCCTAAAGAAAGGTCCTTCTCTAATGGAAACTTTCATTCTAGGAGTTACCTCATTCTGTTTTATGTGGATCTGTTAGCTCCTTCATTAGGTTTCAAGCTCTTTGAAACAGTGATTGAATTTGCTCACCTTTGCTTTCCTCTTGGGGTCTACATTGGGTCCCCAAGTGATAATAGAGCCTTCTGTAGTACTGAATTGCTTTGAACAGAATTAAAGGACATTGGCACCAAATGTGATTTTGCTAATCCTTGGTAGATTTGGTGCCTGTGTCTGGGCCTGATGAGGGTAGAATGGCTGAAGAAAATGTGATCCCCCACCCATTATATTCTTTATTTCTGAACTACTCTAGAAGTTTTTGCCTCTTTTTGTTTCTATACATTTTCATACTTTTAAGCTACCCTTGCTTTTTCTTCCTGTCTAACCTTTCTTCACATGCTCACATGCAAGCCCAGTCATCCATCTCTCTTTTTCACCTTTCTGCCCTCATATATTTTTCTTAAAATATCTTTTCTCATCTTACCGCCTTTCCTCTATCAGCCTCCTGAGCAGAAAATGGTAGTGCTAATGTTTTAAAAAGTGGGGGAGGACTAGAAATCTGTATGGAATGTAATTCACTTTTATTGCTTTTAAATTAAATGAAAGACTTTGCCCGTGTTTCCATTATACTCAGAAGGATTTCAGACTAAATCCTTAAGCCTGCCATATGGAAATAACTGGACTAGATGGCTGCTATCTAATCTGAGCATTTAATTCAAACATTTGAAATGGTTTTTGCTTCAAGAAAACGTAGGTTGACACTAAGCTTTATTTTAGCAAAGGTTTGGGAAAGGTTCTAATCTGTAGTATGTACACTTTAATAAATTTCATAGACTAGAGCAACAGATTACAATTTAGTTTGTTCTTCCAACATAAAACTATTTTAATCCTAGTTATAAGTTCAATGAAGGCTGGATTTACTCACTGACTTGTTAAAACTGTAGATATCAACCACAACCCTGTTATTTAAACACAATTCAGAAATCATAAATAGAAATTCAAAAGGAGAGCTCAATGCTGCAAGATGAGATTTGATGCCCTGAAGAAACTCTGAAATTTGCCAAAGACCTTGTGGGACTTAAAATAACTTTTTGTTTCCTACCAGCTAGATATGGCAGCTTGAGAACTATTTATTATAAATCAAAATAGATATTTTACCAACTCAGAAAATGTTGCTTTTTGTTTGGATATTAATCTTGTTTGTTCATATTTTTAACTAGGAAAGTTACAATGTAATATGGTCATCCAACAGACCACAAGAAGAGAATTTATCTCTCATTTTCAACATTTCAGCAAATATTTCTTGAACACTAACTGTGTGCAAGGCACTACAGTGAATGTTTCTGCTAATGAAAATATGAATTAAATTTGATGCTTGATCATAAGAACTGTGATATAATATTATAAATGCCATAGAAAACTTGCTATTATAAAAAGCTTTGAGGAGTTAATGCTTGCATAGGGTGCAGTGGGTCAGCTAGAGAAGGCTTTATAAAGAAAGTGGAATATGAGCTTTAATGCCTAGCCAGATGTGGGTGTGTGAAGAACAGGGCAGGGCAGTGGGGAGTGGGTGGATTCTGGACAGCTGAAACACTGTTAACAAAATCTCAGAAATGGTACAAAATGGAATATGAATGAGAAAAACAGAACATTGGTTAGGTCTTATTTTTATGCAAATTAAAGAGAAGAGTTAGAGACAAAGTTAAAGTCAGTGGGTCTAGAATTTCAGCTTAAACTTTGGTAGGTAGTGGAGAATATTTTATCATTATTCTGCTCTTTAAACAACTTCAGAGATGATTGATCTGCACTAATCTTGATTGTAAAGGAAGAGAAATTGTTTGGAAGACCAGTTAGGGCATTATTATATTGTCTAGTAAAAGTTAATAAGATCTGCACAAGGCTGGGAAGAGTAGGACTAGAACAGAGGGGTGGATTTAAAGGACATCATGTAGTGGAAATTTCTAGGATTTAGAATCTGATTGGAGAGGAAGAAGAAAGGGAGGAGTTAAAAATAACTGTAAAGAGCCAAATCTGAGAACTGACCCTGCTAAAAAAGTCAGACAAGTCAAGTGGTGCAGCTGGTGTGTGCTAGAAAGTAAGTTCAGCTTTACTAGCAGTACATGAATGTGTGTATGTTCCCTAATGGATAGTGGAAAGTATGAAATTGAAACTCAGAATATGACCTGGAATATAGACTTGGGACTCATTAGCATCAAGGAAATAGTGAAGATGTAGGAACAGATATGAATGCCAAGGGAGAATATGGAAGAGAAGATGGCCAAGGACAAGACTCTAGGGAGAAGTTCTACTTTTAGGTGAGTCTGTTGAAATAGTGAGGTCAGAGTAGAAGTAAGAGAACTTAACATCATAAAAGACTGGGGAAGATAGAGTGTGGAGAAAGGAGGAGCAGTAATATCCATGGAAGCAGAGAGGTAAGGAAGATGAAAACTGAGGGGGAAATTATATGTGGCAGCTAAGAATTCATTGACGACTTTCACAAGAGAGGTCTTAGAACTGTGACTTGCTGGAATGTATCCTCTGTGTCAGTCTGGAGTGTTTGTTTTTGACTTATTAAGTATGCTAGATTTGTCCAATGATTTAAAGTAGCACAGATAACTCTCTCTCTCTCTCTCTCTCTTTGTGTGTGTGTGTGTGTGTGTGTGTGTGTGTGTGTGTGTGTCTGTCTGTGAGAGACAGAGAGAGAGAGAGAGACAGAGAGAGAAGGAGAGAGAAAGAGTAAGCACCAGTCTTGTGGCCAGGGGACTATTTTATATTAATAAGTGATAAAATTATTTAAATATTCCTTGAGCTCACATTTCATCAATAATAGAAATGTTTACTTAGCCATAAAGGAGATCTCTGGAAATTGACATTAGTCAATAAATAAAATTTGTACCCAAACTATGTTAATTAAAAAGACATTCTGCCCCATTTAATCACATGAAACAGCAACAGCAACAAAAATTCTATGTAAACAGCTGTTTAATTGAATTGATGCTCATACCCCAGGAACATATTTAGATCATCTTTTTCCTTTTTTTTTTCTTCAGAATAAAAGGCCAAGCTATGATAGCAACTGGTGGAGTGATAACTGGCCTGGCCGCCTTGAAAAGGCAAGACTCTGCCAGATCACAGCAGCATGTCAACCTCAGCCCGTCTCCTGCTACCCAAGAGAAGAAACCCATCAGGCGCCGGCCCCGGGCAGATGTTGTGGTTGTTCGTGGCAAAATCCGGCTTTATTCCCCATCTGGCTTTTTTCTTATTTTAGGAGTGCTCATCTCCATTATAGGAATTGCCATGGCCGTTCTTGGATATTGGCCCCAAAAAGAACATTTTATTGATGCTGAAACAACACTGTCAACAAATGAAACTCAGGTCATTCGGAATGAGGGTGGTGTGGTGGTTCGCTTCTTTGAGCAGCATTTGCATTCTGATAAGATGAAAATGCTTGGCCCATTCACCATGGGGATTGGCATTTTCATTTTCATTTGTGCTAATGCCATTCTTCATGAAAACCGTGACAAAGAGACCAAAATCATACACATGAGGGATATCTATTCCACAGTCATTGACATTCACACGCTAAGAATCAAGGAGCAAAGGCAAATGAATGGCATGTACACTGGTTTGATGGGAGAAACAGAAGTAAAACAGAATGGGAGCTCCTGTGCCTCGAGATTGGCAGCAAATACGATCGCCTCTTTCTCGGGTTTTCGGAGCAGTTTTCGAATGGACAGCTCCGTGGAGGAGGATGAACTTATGCTAAATGAAAGTAAGAGTTCTGGGCATCTTATGCCCCCTTTGCTCTCTGAGAGCTCTGCGTCTGTCTTTGGCCTCTATCCACCTTCTTCCAAGACAACTGATGATAAGACCAGCGGTTCTAAGAAATGTGAAACCAAGTCAATTGTGTCATCGTCCATCAGTGCTTTTACATTGCCTGTGATCAAACTTAATAACTGTGTTATTGATGAACCCAGTATAGATAACATCACTGAAGATGCTGACAACCTCAAAAGCAGGTCAAGGAATTTGTCAATGGATTCCCTTGTGGCTCCTTTGGCTGACACCAGTGAATCCTTCCAGCCCGTCAGCACGGTGCTACCAAGGAATCATTCCATCGGGGAGTCTTTGTCGAGTCAATACAAGTCATCCATGGCTCTCAGACCTGGGACTGGACAGCTCTTGTCTCCTGGGGCTGCCAGAAGACAGTTTGGGTCCAATACATCGTTGCATTTGCTCTCATCACACTCAAAGTCCTTAGACTTAGACCGGGGTCCCTCCACTCTGACTGTTCAGGCAGAACAACGGAAACATCCAAGTTGGCCTAGGTTGGATCGGAACAACAGCAAGGGATATATGAAACTAGAGAACAAAGAGGACCCAATGGATAGGTTGCTTGTGCCCCAAGTTGCCATCAAAAAAGACTTTACCAATAAGGAGAAGCTTCTTATGATTTCAAGATCTCACAATAATTTGAGTTTTGAACATGATGAGTTTTTGAGTAACAACCTAAAGCGGGGAACTTCTGAAACAAGGTTTTAATGTTAAAAGAATATATCATTTTACAAGGGTATATATTTTAAAACGATTTTCACTGGTGTTTCCTTCTTAAAGCACTGGCTATAAGCCTTTTTAATCAAATGGTTTGTAGTGTATTAGAATTGGCTGCTTAGTTCGTAATGAAGATGGTTGTATGTTTGGGTTACTTGTGACTGCAGTACTCTATGTTATCACATATGATTTTATTTTTCTCTTCCTTTGAAAGCATGATCTCTTTTATTAATATGAATGCAAAATAGTTGCATCCAAATTAAAGCTTATTTTCTTTACTTTTAAGTTCTTTGATTGCCCTATTCATAAAATGAAGTGTCCAGTGTGGAAAACAGAGGGTACTAAAGTGTGGACCAGGAGTACAAATTCAGTCCCAATACTCAATACATATTATAGAAGACTATGAGTGCAAACCTTAGGATGTGATTTTCTGAATAATTGTTCTTTGTAGGATTTGGTTAAATTATTTAAACTGAAGAAGATCTAGTTTCGGTGTGAGCTCAATAATGTTAATTGGTTAAGTTCATTGTGAATCTTGAGTTTTAGATAGGTAGTATTTTTTTCAATATCACTTCTGTTTTTAGTGGTATTATATCAAGAAACAATGTATTCAAGAGCCATGGCTGACAGTGCCAGATATACTTAGGAATAAACATCAAAATGCAATATAGTAGCTATAACTTTAGATATTCAGAATCAAAATTTATTTGCAAGCTGACTTGATAAAATAAATGAACCAATATAATTTGTAGAAATGCTATCTTTAAATAATTATATACATGAAGACGATGTTGACTAATGAATGAAGATACATTATATACTAGTTAATGCTAACTAGTCTCAGTACTTTTTTTTAGCCCTCTGTTACCTTCCAATAGCCCCTCATTCCCACATTCTATTTTCCCCCAATGTGCTTTAGATCCTGGTATTTGGAAAACAACCAGCTAACCTTGACATTTCTTTTTACCTTCACATGCCACTAGCTTGGTAGTTCAAAAAAAATTTAGTTCTTGATAAATTGCCTTGAAGTTTACCTTGTGCTGGAAAGCCTTATGATAACTCCAAAGACTTTCTCATGGTATAATACATGTTGTTTAGGATTGTGTTTCTTAGTTACTGAAGATAATAAATATTAAAGTGGATGTTTTCCTCAGAAAATTTTCATGTTTTCCTTTAAGGTAACATACTTGTAAGAATTGTTTAAGAAAATACTCAGGAAATTCTAAAGGTTTCTCCCAATACCTAAACATTTCTGAACATCAGTATTGCAGTTGTGGAAGAGCAGGAGGAGAATACATTTGTTTGTGTTGCTCCCCAAAATTCCACCTTGCGTTTGCATCACAAACGTCCCTCAATTGAGGCAGTTTTATTTGTTAGAACATTAAACCTGTGTATTGTAATAGAGTGGGCTTAATATTTTACTATAAAGCATTTAATAAACTTCTGTTATTAATAGAAGTTTGTGTTCTTCACACCTTTGCTATTGCTTTTTAAATAAAATGTACATTTCTGCTTAAAGTACTGTTTTTCACACTACTGAGGACACTTGATACCCTGGTACATGTACTGAGTATCTCGGCTTTTAAATTTTGCTTCTATTCGGTTAAAGAGCTAGGTCTATCCATGTGTTTAATTTTTGGATAAACACATTTTTTTGTTTTATTATCTTGGGATTGTTTTCACTTAAAGTTTCATTGACTCTCAGGAAAATAACCAAATACAGCATCTAGCAAATGTCAGCAGCACTCAGATTTGAAAACAGTGGCTCTCAACACCCCTGATGTGACAGATGACTGAAGCCATATAATTTGTTCAGTTCATCCCTGAAAGAGCTCTAGAAATTTGAAGAGGATTAAACAGCATGGGTCTTAGTTGATCCAAATAAAGGAATTGGGGGCTTAAAGTAGTGGTTCCTGCTCAATCTTCTCTTCATCAAAAAGCCTGAGTTTTTTACTTATCAAGCAAGTCAACTTTGATAAATTATAAATATTTTTCTCATTTTAAGTTAATCAGAGACATAGATTACTAATTAAGGTTTCAGATTCATATGAGATAGCTGGTGTCACCACATTGATACAATTCTACCTAAAAGCAATGAAACCTGGAATTCTAGTTAGACCATATTTTGTGTATTTCCTTTAGGCTTTTATGAATATTGAAAATTATTTTTAAAATACACCTGCCATATTATATTAGAACTGTACTCTAGATGCTTTGTTTAATCTTAATCACCTTACTTGCCTCTTTAAATCTCCAAATATGGTTATTCTGAGGGGCAGGGGTTTGGGACTTCAGCATATGAATCTCAGGGGGACACAATTCAGCCTGTAACATGGGGTGTGGAGCGGTGAGTAAGGGTTCTTAGTCTAAAGTAGGTGAGAATGTGCAATATGCCCTTAATGACATTGCCACCCTGGCTATGTAGCCTTGAGTCAATCACTTAATCCCTCAATTTCAATTACTTTCTTAATGTCAAGGCTTTGAATTCCTCACCTGTGAAGTGAGATGAGTAAGAAAAGAAACTATCAAGTTCTTTCTAACTCTAAAGGTCCAGGGTTCTTGATGCCCTCCGATGAAGATCCACTGCCTCTCCCTGTCTCTTTGTAGCAGATTACTTCTCAAAGGATGAGGGTAGGACTTGCAGAAGAGCAGAGCGGTGGGAGGCATGGATGTTGGAACCAGAAGACCCGGCATCTATCAGTTTATGAAGCTTTCAGGCTTAAATACATGTTTCTATCTGTATAATCTTCGAAGAAACAATGGCAATATAAGTAAAAAGAAAAACGTTATTTAGCACCAGTTTGTATCAAGAGCTACTATCGTAGCTCTTGACAATTTACTAAAGACAAATTTTGAGTTACTTGCTTAGCAGTTCAAATTTAGCATTTATTTATTTATTTATTCATTTTTGAGACAGAGTTCTGCTCTTGTCTCCCAGGCTGGAGTACAATGGTGCAATCTGAGCTCACTGCAACCTCCTCTTCCCAGGTTCAAACAATTCTTCTGCCTCAGCCTCCCACATAGCTGGGATTACAGGAGCCCACCACCATGCCAAGCTAATTTTTTGTATTTTTAGTAGAGATGTGCTTTCACCATGTTGACCAGGCTGGTCTCGAACTCCTGAGCTCAGGTGATCCACCTTGCCTTGGCCTCCCAAAGTGCTGGGATTACAGGCAGGCATGAGTCACTGCGCCCAGCCCCACATTTAGCTCTTAAATTCACCACAGATAACTAAAAGAAGTAAAATATAGCATAAAAAAGAAAAAGACCCATCAGTTTATCAATAATTTTCCTATAACATTTTAAATATTACAGTGGTGGCCTACCACTGACATCCATCCACCTACTGCGGTGTTCAGGTTGTTCAGAGATCTTAATCACTTATTCTCTAAGTAGGAACTGTGAAAGTGCTACTTTGGTTATCCTGTCTCTTACTTTCCGCAAATTACTCTGTCACCCTTCCCTGACCCTATATGTAATCCCGTTTTAGACCTTATATCAAGGTTTTAATGTGTATAACTTTGATGCTGGATTATTGAAGGACTTTGTCTTTAATGTCCCATTTGATGATTAAAGTCCTTTGTGAGGTGTTTTCACACTGAAGTAATTCATTGATTTCTCTGTATATACTGTTTTTCCCAGGATGATGGCATAAGAGAAAAAAGGCCCACTTCATTGAAGTGCCTTTTACTTAATAGTTGATGCTGTCTTAAGATAACAGGTTAGTTTTCTAGGGCTGGTATAATAAAATATCACAAACTGGGTGGCTTAAGCAATAAAATTTATTTTCTCATAGTTCTGGAGACTGCAAGTCTAGGAATAAGGTGCTGGTTGGTTTGATTTCTCTTGAGGCTCCTCTCCTTGGCTCGCCAATGTGTTCTCACATGGTTTTGTGCATCTCTGGTGTCTGTGTATCCACATTTCCTGTTCTTATTAGGATACCAGTAAGATTGCATTAGGGCCCATCATGACAGCCTTATTTTAATTTAATATCCTCATTAAAGGCCCTATCTCCGAATACAGTCACATTCTTAAGTACTGGGGGTTAGTTCAACATAGCAATTGGAGATGGGGGAACACTTCAGTTCATAACAGATAATAATTTTAAAATAACACCTGCCCAAGAACAGGGCTCATTAAAGTGACAAAATGAAGTAAATCTGTCCTCATATATCAGCAGATCAATTCCTCTTCTTGAGGTACATTTTACATAAACTAATTTACATTTATATTTCCTCTCTTACTGTCAGTGTATGATAAGACAAAGGAAGTAACAAAGAGGATATAAGAAACCTCAGACAGGCACAGTGGCTCACACCTGTAATCCCAGCACTTTGGGACCCAAGGCGGGAGGATCACTTGAGGACAGGAGTTCAAGACCAGCCTGGCCAACATAGTGAAACCCCATCTACACTAAAAATACAAAAACTAGCCGGACATGCTTGCTTGAACTCAGGGGGCGGAGGTTGCAGTGAGCCAAGATCATGTCGCTGCACTCCAGCCTGGGTGACAGAGTGAGACTCTGTCTCAAAAAAAAAAAAAGAAAGAAAGAAAGAGAAAGAAGGAAGGAAGGAAGGAAGGAAGGAAGGAAGGAAGGAAGGAAGGAAGGAAGGAAGGAAGGAAGGAAGGAAGGAAGGAAGGAAAGAAAGAAAGAAAGAAAGAAAGAAAGAAAGAAAGAAAGAAAGAAAGAAAGAAAAGAAAGAAAGAAAGAAAGAAAGAAAGAAAGAAAGAAAGAAAGAAAGAAAGAGAAAGAAAGAAAGAAAGAAAAAGAAAGAAAGAAACCTCTACACACAGTATCTTGTTATTCTCATATTCAAGGTGGTTTTCAGCAAACTGGGCAGAACCTTCAGCTTGGACTATTTCCTTCTTATTGCCATCCTTTATCCTTTGTTGATTCATTGGTTACTTTATTACAAAAATAACAGAGAAAAACTACTTTCATTTTGGTCTTCTCTCTTATTAATTCACAGTTTAAAAGTTTGAGACTTACAATAATTTTTTAGTTCTTTCTCATTACCAAATAATATATAGTCTGTCCTCCAGGAGCATGTGTATGCTACAAATTAAGTGTAGAGATATATGTACATTTCAGTTGTTTGTAATGTAGACAAGGCCACAGTATTTATAATACAAAAGATGGAATAATTTGCTAATAGAAACATAAACACCTTGAATTTTGAAGAAACAGGACATGAGAGCCGACACCCAGTGCAACACCGAAGCTAGCAGAGTCAAGACCTGATTTCGGGACCGTTGATTCCTAGTATTTGCATCAATTAGAATCAAATCAAGTTTTTTAAAACACATATGTGCAGAATCTGGTGATTAGACTTTGGGTTTCTTACGGCTGGTAAAGAGAGAAGCATCTATAATTTCTGGAGGAAAACATAGTGCTGAAATGTCCAACACATCTTGCTGGATTGGGGGTAAGGTGGTATACTTGGGACCTATATTGCAGACAGCACCAAGCTTAGAATGGGAACTTTAAGTATTTAACTTTGATTTCCCACGTTTTAAAGTATTAACTATCTAACACTGCTATGAAAATTATGCCATTAAGCCCTTCCAAATCATTATATTGTCTTTTAGCAAGATACACGGAACTAAAATAAGACGTTTGCATCCATATTCAATAAACCACATGTACAACAAGGAAGGCAAAAAGACAAGGGGGAAGGAAGGAAGGAGTGTGGTATTTGGGAGATAAGAGAGGAGGAGAGAATGCCATATGTTTTCCTACTTATTAAAAACACATGCATAGGAAAGGCATTCCATTTACACTAAATTTTGGAATAAAACCAAGCTTATAATTTTTAATCACTGAGGCAGTGAGAAAATATTCTTAGTTGATTTTAAAATACATTTTAGTAGGCATTAACAGTGCTTATTATCTAGCTCATTTGAGTCAGTCACCCTAAGGGTTAGTGAATTAATCATTCATTTGAAGTCATCAGCTAATGAGTCATGAATAGCTCCAAGCTGTTAAGAAATTATTATTTTAAAAAATAAAATCACTTTTTTCTGTACTCAGATATTTTCTGTGTTCATTAGGTGTGTATTTTTCCCTAAAGCATTTCCAAATTCCAAGTGTGTTACCTTGTGTTATCGTTTACAATGTTAATAACCTGAAAAGTCAAATTAACTTTCCAGCCAGTTAGTTGAACAGTTAAGGAATTATCTTTCAAAGACTCTTGCATTTTATGAGTTTGTTATTAATGCCTATTACTGTCTCAAGACCTGAAGAGGTTCAAATAAAATACATATGAGCAAAAAATATGAAGCACATTTAGAATCTGGATTGAACTGAATATAGGGTATAATTATTCCTTACTCTGTAACATGCTTACTATACTTTAAGTGATAGGAAAAATTTCTCTTCTGAAGTAATGTAAGTGAAATATATTCTCTTTGGCATGTGAATACCACATTCTGTTTTATATTGGTTACCAAGGTGTTTAGCAACTTACAAAGTACATTTAATATTAAGCCAGTCTTTTCTTACCCAGGTTTCTTCTGGC